ACCACAAAAAAATATTACAAAACTACAATCCAGGCACTATGAACACACAAAATACATTGTTCATCCTAATCATGCTAAATCGAAGGGCAAAACACAAAAGAATAATTGAACTAACCTCAGTTATACAATGGAAAACATTGACAAAATCACCCAAAATAGAGCAAAACGGTAGCTAGGATTTTGCCAAAAACACCTAATCTCAATGTTAAACGACTACTCTTCCTTATAAGATCTACTTTCTCTTTATACAAAATGATTTATAAAACCTCTATCACAAGTGATTTTTTATAAGTACCAGTTTTTATGCGGCCTAGCCCATGTATGTAGAAATGCGGGCCTCTTAATAAATCTATTTTTTAAATGGATTATAAGATTTAATTTTTGAGGACATGTACTCTCTAACATGGAGATCATGAATATGTAAAAATAAATAAATTTAAAAAACTAAAAATAATAATAATAATAAAAAAAAAATTGGACCGTTCGTTTCCATTGTTTTTAGTTGGAACACCGACTTGCATCCATCTTTAAGATGGATGCTTTACACTTTCCTGACCGCATATGTAGAAATGCGGTCTAGTCCGCATGACACAATTGTCCTTTTTATAATGACCACAAATTCCCTTTTATAATGACCACAAATTTTCACGTTTTTTTATAAAGGGTGCGGTTTCTATAAGGTTGCAACCTTTAACAATACAATTAAGGAGCACGTCCAAAATTTTATCATAACATGTAATTTTGGTGAAAAAATTATTAGGATTATCTCAAAATCTATTTTTATATTTAATTATAAACTTTTAAACTTCAAAAATAGTTAAAATCAAGTAGATTTATAAACATATGAAAATCTTGAAAATGGACGGTCTAGATAATGTATTGCAAGATGTACTATTTCTGAGACTCAAAATCATTTTCTTTCTTCATATTCATACATCTCAATGTCGAGATGATCAATTAGATGTTTTTTCAACATTTAAACAACCTTTTCCGATTGATTTTTTATGTGCATATGTAATTCTATATTTTTAGGTTGCAACCTTATATAAACTTTTTCCTTTTCTAAATGATGGTTATTCTTCTTTGTTTGTTACTGTTCATTGGTGTAGTATTGGTTTAATAGTTGATAACTTGCTATGTCACTGTAATTCTTATTTATTTCTCTTTAATGTTAATATATTCACTAACCGTGCCCTCACATCTCTGTCATTTACCCTCTAATTCACGTGTAAAATCTTGTGTCATAGTCGCCCAATGAGTAATTGGCTCAGCTTTTTTTATCCCCATTTTTTTGGCTCAGTTCTTATTTTTTCTTTCTACTAGAAATAAATTACTACCCAATTTTGGTTATTACTGATATATCGATATTAGAGTAAAAAACGATATTAATTGTATTGGTAATTATTTTTGAGCTTAGTGGTAATACATTTGGTTTAAGGGAGACAATGGGTTAAACTTGAAGTTTGTTCCAAAAAACAAGCAAAGCTGATTTTTCTTTTTCTGTGTAATCTTAAAGCGTTGGAATACAGAAAGAGGAAGTGGCAGAGAGAAGTTTACCATGCATTGAAGGTGATCCAAACAATGAGTTGTTATCTTCATGATATGATTCAGAATTTTATTGATGATTTTTAAGAAATTTGCAGATGGAGATGTTTAAGAATACAGTTAGGGAGCTCGAAAGCGGTGGCATCGGATATGCAAGAATGTGAGAAGATGTAGAATGGGAACTTGTCTCTATTGCTTGGATGTACAAATGAATCTATTAAGGCACCTTAGCACCTGTCGATTGCTTAATCAGTTCAGTTATAATAAGATGTTTTTGTTTTGTGTAGTTTTGTATAACAGGTTCATGGCAACAGGGATTGCTCAATTGATCAATTCACTCTCAATTACCAAATACTAATATATACCAATGATTTTGTTATGAGGCCTGATGAAATACATTATGCAAAGGAAACTTTAACATATAATTCAAAAGCAGTTAATAAGTCCTTTGTGTAAATTCTCAAATTAAGTAGTTATTCTAAAGTGAAGCCAAAAATTTATGATAAAGAAAATTCTTTGAAGTAGTTCAGGTGCGTGAGGGACTAAATGTAAATTTTTGTCCTCTTGAGGGCATAGTCGCCGTGCTCCATTACAAAAACCTTTTGATGAAAGGGTTTCTTTTATTTTCTTTATTTATTTATTTTTTAATTTTTATCAAAATGCTCAAATAGAAATTTTCCAATGCACCTTTAACCATTTCAAAAGCCTAAAATGTCTCAGAACCAGTTGGGGGGACAATTTTCTAAATTATTTTCTACAAAAAGCTATTAACACACATGTTAGTTTCTTAATCATGATTTTTAACTTTTCCATGGAGGGAGAAATTGAAAATTGTCATGACAACAAATTCTGATGCATCTGCCATTGGGTTATTGGAAACTTCATTTTAGAGGGTACAAGAAGTTGCTAAGTTTTTCTGGTAGCGTTCAAAATCTCACTAAGTTGACATCCATTGTGTTTGGACTCTTTCTTAATATTGCATTCGAAACCGAGGGCTCTCAAATTATATATGGCTATTTATCATGGACTGAGATTCCTCTACCTCAATTTATTTATTTACTTTTATGGGATTATCTTCAAAAAAAAGATTTATTTTTTGTACATGGAGATCACAATCATTCTTGTCCTTTAAATTTCAAAATAGGTGGTTGTAAGAGAGATATTGAATAGACACAAAGTTAAAAAAAAAAAAAAAAAAAATCTCGAACTTCATGACTGACCCCAAGCCATTCAATTTGATATCTAATGAGTGTAAATGATATTGGCCTCTATGTACAAACGATAAATGGTCTCTTTGTAAATAATCCTAGTATTTGAAGGCTGAAAATGCTTCTTAAAGATCCGTGGCACATTTCGACTTTTAAAATTGTTAAGAGCAAAAAAATGGCCAAATATGTTGCAATGTATGCTGCAATGAAGATAAGATACCCCAAAAATTAAATGTTAATGATTTTACCTTTTGTATGGAGGGGCAAAATTGCAAATTGTCACAACTAATTTAGACACATTTTCAAATGGGCCACTCAAAACTATGTTTTAGATGGGATGCAAAAGAAGCTGTTGAGTTTGTATTGGTAGCCTTGGAATCTCAAATGCAGGAGAATTTAGACATTATACTATTTTCAAGGGATACTTATCATGGTATCCTTAAATCACATGAAAAGTGAAAACTTTAGAAAGGACACATGTCGTAAAGATATTTGAACACAGGGGCAGGTTGTTGAGGAAAAAATGAAATATTTTAGTCTCTCTAAATTACTCCATCTAAGGCAGCAAATGATGATTTCCTAAAGGTGAATGAAATTGTTTCTTTGTTACAAATTGATATCAAATTCAAATTAAAGGAAAATCAGGGTTACAAATATCTAAAGGTTTAAGTGGATATCAACTCTTGTGTGTAAGCTTCTATTTACCCCATAGGTCAGAATAATTAATGATATATATTGCTCCTTACTTGAGAATAACATTGTAGTATTTAGCAGTCTGCGACCCACAATTGTCTAAACAGTAAACGGTGTGAAAAGAAAGTATATATTATATATCGAATTAATATAGAAGATGTATATTGCAATTAGTATATATAGATAGGGTAAGTACAATCAAGGGAGAGAAAAAGAGCCTTGAGCTATTAGAGAGTGCATAGGGGGTTTTGAAGTAAAACAATGAATGATCGTCGGGGAAAAGAGAAATAAGGCGTAGGGGAGGTAAATCTTCATCATGATTAGAAAAGTAATATTCATAATGGATATGTTCGGACAGTGATGCATGAAATGCTGTCAAGGCATCATGGTCTTGTTAAGACCGTGATGGTTATAAACATGCTTAAAGGCATCATGGTCTAATTAGACAATGATGCCTCACAACGTAATTCAGGTCACAATTAGATCCGTGAGGGGTATTTTAGTTAAAAAGATTAATAGTAGAAAATGGGTAGTGAAAGTAGTTCTAAAAAGAATTAGTTTTTTTGTTTAATTTTAAAAAAATATATTTTTAATAATTTCTCAAACATTAATAAGCTGTACATTTTCCTTGAAAAAAGGTGGCAATGGACCCGGACCCGATTCAGGTCCGAGTATGAGTTAAAAAATTGGATATGATGGGTCCGATCCAAGTCTAATCTTAGATCCAAAAACTACTTGGATCCGGATCCAGGTCATATATATTTTTTGGATCCGAGACGAGCTGATCCCAGACCCTAAGCATTGCCACCCCTAATTTTAAAAAACGTTTATTAAAAAGCTGTTCTTGCATCGCAATTCAATTTCAAAGGATCCCATAATTTCGATTGGATAATATTTGCCAAGCAATCAATATCATAACAACAGATGCTATCCATAATGGCGCAACTAAGATATTTTTTTGTGCATGCCCTCAATTATCAGCCCATCCCATCTCTTCAATTGATTTTTGTGCATGATTCAGCCCCCCAAAAGATCCTG